CTGAAAACCACCTGCTAGTGCTGGGAAACCAGGTGGTTTAGTGGTGTTGCTGCTCCAGGCGAAATTGGGATGCTGGCGCCACCCCTCATTATATGTGTTACTGTATGGATCGAGGCGCCGCGCATTGGCGATGAAGGCCAACTGCTCCTGGGGTGTGGTAGACTCCCTCATAGCCTGGCAGTCCTCCACTAGGTGATTGGAGCTCTCACACCACTGACACTGAGCAACTGGAGGTGTAGCCAAACCTCTGCCCGGAATAAGACTGTTGGGCTGCTTCAATGTCTGCACTAGCTTAGCTACCTGCTGCTCGAGCCCGGATCTGGTCTCCATGGCGTGGACACCACGGTCCCGGGACTGTCTGCCTCGGCTACCCTGTCCCCAAGAATGATCTCTGGCAGCCAAAGTACTGATCATCTGGTTCAGCTCGGGTGGAGTCTTAGTGAGAATATCCCCTCCTGGGCATAGAGACTCAATCACCCTCTGGCTATCTGGAGAGAGGGCACTGTAGAAGTTCCCCACTGTGAATGCATCGCTGAAGCCATGATGGGGGCACTGCCAGAAATAGCCCATGTACCGCTCCCACGCATCACGAAGTGACTCATCTGGCTCTTGGCGGGAGTGAGTGATCTCCCGCTGGATCTCTGTAGTCTTCGATGCCGGATAATACCTGTGCACGAACTTGTCCGCCAGATCGTCCCAAGAGGTGATGGACAATGGGGGCTGGGTCTCCAACCACCTCTTAGCATTCCCCGCTAGAGAATGTGGGAAGAGATGAAGGCGGATCGCATCATCGGGAACACCGTTCAGCTTGAACCCGTTTGTCAGCTGCAGAAAACGGGACAGATGTACCCTGGCCTCCTCATCCTTCAAGCCATGAAACTGGATCGAGGATGTGATGAGCTGAATCCAACATGGCTTGATCTCAAAGTTGTTTGCTGGGATCGGCGGGTAGAGGATGACCGGGCGGATGTCAGCAATCCGAGGAGTGTAGTAGTACTCCAAGGTGGGTCCCGGCTGCGGTGGATGGATGAACTCCATGATCCTGGGGTTGTTCCCCATGACCTGATTCACCGGGGGAGCCTGCTGAGGATTCCCCTGGTGTTGATTGTACTCTCCGTCCATCCCGTGCTCTTCTTCAGAATCACTGCTCACGTGGCCGTCTATGCGCTCTTCCGTAGCCAGTCTAGCTCGCTGTTGTCTCCTGAGCTTGCGACAGGTGCGGTCAATCTCTGGATTCAACGGCAGTAAACCTCCCGACTGGCTACGGGTCATGCACTACCTGCACACTCTCAAGCAAGCAAACCCGTGAAGGCACAAGTGGGACAAAGCAAACAAAGCAAAAAGAAAAAGGCTAAATTAACAGAAATCACTTTTCTTCAACAACCTAGCCGTCCCCGGCAACGGCGCCAAAAACTTGACTCGACTCTACTGTAACCCTAGGAATTAGCCAAGTGTAACCACTTCCTAAAGCGTAGTATAGCGGGTTAGGTTTATATGTCAACCCGGGTCCTAGATCTGATGACTACTCAGTGAGATCTTGTTATCTAGCAATGAAACTGGAATGCAAGTCTAAACTACCAAACAAACAAAACAAGTAAACTGTTGTATTCAGGTTAAAGAGGTCACCCGGATATGGTTCCCCCCAGACTGCAGTTAAGCCGGATTGTAATTACCAAGTTCAGTTTCTATGAAAGTTATACTGCGGAAGGTTCTTAAACAGCGTGAAGTCTCGACTAAAGGTCTTCAGACCCTCTCAATCTGAATCTCTAGCGGGCGACTAACCTCCACCGGAGTAAACAGATTGAGGCCCTAAGAACAAAACCTCCACTACCGGAGTAAATCCGGTACAGAATAGTGAGTTGGTTCCTCGACTAAAGTCACCAACTCCCTACCTTCAATCAAGGATACTCTATCAACCTAGGCAGATATTCTCATTCTAGGTTAAAGCAGAAACAACAGGAATTTGATCAGGATTCAAGTCATTCAATCATTAAAACCTCAATCGAATACAATCAATCATAGAATCAGTACTTGGGTTCATACAATCAAACCTAACATACAAATCTAGGGTTCTCCATACCCAGATGAATGGGAGAACTACTCCATGGAGAAGAAAGCAAAAGCAGAATCAGACGCGGAATTCATACTGTGAAGGATGGATTCCTACTCCTGGACGTTGATCGGCACTTCTCCAAGCTCAAACTGGCCTCCAATGGTGTTGAAGATCAATCTAGGGCACTTGGGAACTCTTGCTCGTCACTTTCTCTCTCTAGGAATCGTTCTATCTCTCAAAAACTTGAATCCCCCTGAATTGTGGCTGAAAATCTGCTTAAAAGCATCAGTGGCCAAAGCACGGTCGAGGGCACGGCCGTGTAATGCCTCAGCCCGCCCGTGTTTTGGCTAGTGTTAATTACACTAGGAGAAACACGACCGTGCTTCGCGTAGGACACGGCCGTGCTTTGGTGGAACACGGCCGTGCTTTGTCTCGGCCCTGCCCGTGTAATCAGCTCAGCTCTCGGCATAAAAAGCACGGCCACCAGAACACGTCCGTGTAATGATTTAGGTGTGCCTGTGTTTTGGCTCCAGCTCACCGAAATGACTTCCGATTGCCCCGAAACTCGCGCTTAGCCTTCCCTTTGACACCTGGGACCTGAAACATGACAAAATAGCACAGCCCGGCGTAAAATAGGCCACAATACACGACTATGCCCCTCAAACGGATGAGAACTATGGGCGCAAATATGTGCAATTACATCGTCCAGGGTACGGAACTTTTCTCTCTTTCGACTCAGTCTTGCTGGCCCTCTACCTCGTAGTTGCAGCGAGCTACTAGTTCAATGGTCAAACGTCACCAAAGGTTGCAGATTGTCAAATGCTTTCTGGCCACTTCCACATGCAGTGTTCTGGTTATTATGGATTGAGTGGAATGCTAGACTTTCTCGTGAGTCGTGATCACTACACAAGAAGCGCCACTCTATCCAACAGAATCAACTACATCATTTGCTCATGGTTGGATAGTAGCAACAAACTATCTCAACAAGAACTTTAATCCCTACATTTGATGTTGTATGGCACAAGCCAAAACCCATTTGAGCCACCATAACAACTTGTTTCTAGTGTTTGCATATGTACCTTCAGCCACCTTTATTGTACTTTATCATTGGAGCAAGTCCATTACTTATGGATGAACTCCCTTTCGATGAATAAAACTTAGCAGTAATTCATTAAGAAAAAAAAAGATTCGAAGGTAGCAGAACACTGATAACTAGCAAACTATAGTCAGAAGCAGAAATTTTATTAAAAGAATGAAAGAAATGAAGTCAAAGCGTTCAATAGTGAAGATAGCAAAGAAAAACCTTGCAATGGCCAGCCACTAGGTCTTTCTTCTTCCACTTATTAGCACACGATTACAGCCTGCTCGTCCTCAGTTTTAAGCTATGGGTGAGGAATTTCTTCCGCCGCGGGCCAAAAATAAGGATGAATCGAGGACAAAGTTGGAATCTCTGACTCCGCTCTTCGGCCGCCCTCGCACGCCGCCGCGACTACCGTCTCAGTTGTGCCTCCTCCGCTGGCTTGTTTCTCTACGTCTCCTTCTCCCTTCAAGCGCCTTGTTCACTCGAGATTTCGCGCTTGGATTTGCCGGCGACGAGCTCGTCCGATACCTCTCCCTGATAATTTGTACCGGAAATTGCTCCTGTTCTCAGCAGATTTCAGCGGTATATCTTCCGACCGACTGTTTCAGCAGCTCTTTGAAAGCTATTTTGCTTTTTCTTACCCTAATTCGGGATTTTGATTAACCGACCATAGAGATGGAAACGACGTCGTACCTTGTGGTTTTTTCTTTTATGAATTTAATTAAACGGACCAGGCCAACTTCTGACAAAGCAGTCTGGGCTTACTACGGCCTTCCAAGCTTCCTTCCTTGCTTTCGTTCTCTCCCTGTTTGGCGCTAGTTTTTCTTTGGACTTCCTTTCTGCCCCGTTCACTTCCCATTTTGTTTTCTGTTTTCTATTGTAAAAATGAAAATCAAGAAACAAATGATAAGAAACGTGTTCACTTGTAGTTTCGTTTTCGTTGGAAAAATTCATTTGGCATAAATGAGGAAGCTAGAAGGAAACCATTAAAAGTTGTTTCCTGGAAATAATGGGACGGGTTATTCCCTGTTTCCTAGCGGAAAATGGATACTGCTGATTATTGAGGCCGTTTGTTCGATCCCTGCCAGCGACTACTTTTTTTACTTATCTCCTCTTTTCCTAAATGCCGCCGTTTTGCCCACTAAAAGTAAAACCCTACGAGAAGCTAAACTCGATCCCTCTCCCGCGCCTGAGTGAGAAGAGAAGCAGCAGCGATGACCGCGTCTGCAACGGGAAGCAGCGAAGGCGAATCCTTCCTCCAGTCGGCGAAATCAAGCTGCAGCGACGCGATTCTCCACCGTCGAAGAGAACCTACAGCCGGTCGCCATCTCCCTCCTCCACCCGACGATTCGTTCGAGCCTCTCCATCGGACGAATCCTCTCCTCCAGCAGCGACGAAATGGATGGTAACGAGGTGGAAAACAATACTTCAATTACGATACTTTATTTGAAGAGTATCGAGATTATTGCATGAAAGAGAATGTCAATGAAGTGCAATGAGGGCAATAAAGGAACTTATTCGACATATGATGTTATACTTGTATTGTGTTTATTAGTACTTTGAAAACAATGTCATTCATATTAAAAATTATAATTATGATTAGAATTGTATGATACTCAATGAAAAAATTGTGATAATCAATTACCAGAAAACAGTAGGAAATAACTAAACACGTTTTCCGGCCGCCATCGCACGCCGCCGCGACTCTCTAAGAACTCGCCCTTCCATCCCCGCCAATGCTTCTTCTTCCTCAAACCCTTGCCGCCTTTCAGTTTCGCATCCTAACTCCATCTCAAGCTCTCTACCAAGTAACTATCTGGCTGACGCGGGAAGAACACGAGCGGAACGAAACCAAAAGAAGGCAAAATGATGCAGATATGTAGAAGCTTGAGACAACTTTTAAGGTTTTCCCGGCGCATTTCTTCTGGTTAGCCCATTTTGCCTTGGTGGAATTCCTTTGTTGTTTCGATAGCTATCCCTACTGGTCAAATTTATGAACTTCAATTACGTAACTTTTGTTGCTAGGAATATACTTAGGGCAGAGCGGAGAAGCCAGAAGAGGTTACTCTGTCTCCACTTCAGTCGCCCCATTTCGTTCATTTCTTAGAACCACCAACTACCCAGGAATACTTTGGTGGAACTTCTCTTATTCTCAGAGGTAATTGCTCAGCGGAATGGGACATTCTGTAAGCTCTTTTGTTTGAGACCACTGTGTTTTCTTTACGTACTTTGCCTGACTTATGAATGGCAGTGATCTCCAGGTATTCGACAGCATCAGAAGAAGCATCTACTAGTATTCCTGCCCCTACAGCAGATGATGACGTGGTCTCCTTTGTTTGATCCATTGCCGATGAGCATGAAGGTTGTTGCCCAAGTTTAGATTGCTTATGTGCAAGTTTTAGTTTTACGCATGGATTCAGGTCCACTTGGCTAGTTGATAGATGATGTCATTGATATGGTTTCAAAATGGATTTTGCAGGCCCAAATCATGTTTGGTTAAATGTATATTATGGAGATAAACCCTTCTTGAAGAGAAATGGGACATTTTTAATCCTCGCTGGACAGTTCTTACAAGATTCTGAAATAATTGCCATGCTTGAAAAAGTGAAGTTGCTTCAGCAGAGGTAGAGATCGAGTTTCCAATTTCCACTTGTGTTTCTTTCAGTATTGATCTAAACAGTTGCATTGTTAGGTTTGTTAAATTTGAGGATCTTCTCCCTTCTATGTTCCAGATTCTCCGAATTTTGTGTTTTGGGCCTTCATACCGGGAGTTCTGCTAGCTTCGCTGCTGATCGAGATCATGTTATTGACTTGATAATGAAAGAATACATCACCTTCCCCATTCTGTTGTCAAACAAGAACTTCACAGAGGTAAGGTAATAAAGTTCATCATAGAACAGCTGTGAACTGTAGTGTTACTATAGCTTGAGCTTCTCAGAACCACCCTAGGATTCACTGTCAGTAAAGCTAAGAATGGTTGTTTTGCCTTTGACTGTCATGTCTAAATATGGGATTGAGCAAGTCTCAATGCTGGTAAAAATGGTGTGGTTTGAAAGGAACTCCACTAATGCATTTGGAAGAAATACTTTGTGCTTTAGTGGAGTGAAAGGAAAATGCCATAGGCCGATTTTTGCTAATCTCTAAATAGTATTAAAAGAATGTTCCGTTTTATTTAGATGGAAAACGGAGTCTGGTACATTATGTTCAGAGACTCTGAGAATTCTCTAGTTCAGCATGAGAAGGATCTGGATATTGGAACACTTTATGCAGGTATTGCGGTGTCTTTGTCTTGGTTAGTTGAAGTTTGATTTCTTTGTCATTCTCACATTATGTGCATTTAGATAAAAGCTTGCCTTCTAGCATGACCTGTTTGTCATTACTATTCCCCTCTTAGAAGTATCATTCTTTGAAATGGGTACAATTTGTTGCATATCGTTAGGGGGCAACTGAAGAGCTACGTCAAATTGATAGAAACTCCTACAAATAATCATATGATTACTTTTATATTCGTTTTGTCTTTTCGAACCTTTTCCAGTGGTAGAGGAGATGCAAGTACTACAAAAACAGAATCCTCGTGATGGAAACTCCAGTATGGCTTGTTTGAAAAGCACTTGGACAAAACTAGCTGATGCTGTGAAGGAACCATACATTGTTTCACCTATTCAGAACTTGCCTCTCTATTTCCCAGGTAAAGTATCCCTGGGATCTATGTGGTTTGCCTAAGATTTTTGGTCCTACTGCATGTTCTCAGCATGTAGTCTTGGCAGACTGCATAGTTGGTGAACTTTATGTTCAACAAGATGCGTATAAATTATAGTAGATAACTTTGTTAATATAAATTTTTAAGAGAAGTTGTTCACATTTGCTCAACAAGTTTCCCTCCCGGTTTTCTGCAGGCTGTATATCTGCAGATATAAGTGGCAGTCGGCTATTCTTTTCTGACACCAATCATCACCGTATCATCATTTCTGATGGTAATGGAAGTATTCTTGACTGTGTAAGTAATTAATTTTAATAACTTCAATATATTTGGTTTATGTGTCATGTGATGTCCTCCACCGTATCCTCAACACTGTATCCTCAACACTTGTCTTTGCAGCTAAAAGTGTTGAATAATTGATACTATAAAATCACCTTCATACTAGTTTATATTTTGTGGTGCCTATTTACTTTCTCAATTCTGTTGTGTTTTGCTTTTAACACCTGAGAAAAGTGATAAAACTTTTTAACTTACGAGTTTTATGTGTCAGATTGGTTCTTCTCCAGGTTTTGAGGATGGAGACTTTGAGTGTGCCAAGCTATTGCGCCCTGGAGCTTCCTTTTATGATGACACTGAGGATTGTCTGTATTTCGTAGACTCAGAGGTATGCATGAGGTCTCTTTTGGAATTGGAATTCGTCAGAATATCAATTTTGTAAGTTTCAATGTGTTAATATATAGGGTTATAGGTATAATATGCCCATCTACTATAACGTTTTATCAAACATGCCCCTCTACTATTTTTTACATCAAATATGTCCCTGTACTTTGACAAAATTATCAAACATGCACTTCTGCTAAAATTTCCATTGAAAAAATTGTCTATCATGGTTGAACTGAGATTTAGACGACCCGGCATCGGCAAATGTGAGAGAAAATATCAGTTTTTTCCCCGTTTTATTTCTTTGGGTCTCTTCAAAGTGAAATTATTTGAATTATTTGGCTATACAAAAGAACAAAAAAAAAATTCTAAAGTGAAATGATTAGGGATATTTTAGACATTTGAGTCGCCCAAACCAAAGGTGGTTGACGGTTTTTAGATGAAAATTTTAACAAAAGTGCATGTTTGATGTAAAAAATAGTAAAGGTGCATGTTTGATGAAACATCATAGTATAGGGGCATATTATACCTATAACCCTAATATATATCTACTTATATAATTTATCGTTGTTTGTGTATTTTGTTTGCGAAGAACCATGCAGTCAGGAGAGCTGACTTGGAGAGACGGGTTCTAGAGACGTTATATCCTTCTTCTAGTGTCTTCTTAAGTTTGGCGCCAACGTTTCTCCTTTATGATCTTAATTTCAGATGCTTGCTTTAATTATGTCTCAGAAGAAAATAAAAAAAAATTTTGTTTTTGTTTCTAATGAGCAGCTTTGAGACACTATGGGTAATGGATTTGACCACTGGAGAGATAAAAGATGTTATCAAAGGTTTGAAAACCTTACCCTAGCTTAGTTGTTCTGTATTTAGTATGTTTGTCTAACATTAACTTCTTGTGTGTCTGAAGGATTCCAAAAGATTCGAGATACCTGTGGAAATTTGATCACAGATAAATTATCTCTCTTGAAGGAAATGCCAAGTGATTGGTTGGAACAGCAGGCTGGTACTTACTTGTCAAGTAAAGATACCTTGTATGCTACCCTCATATCATCACTTACAGCTTTCAACGGCCACGTGTTTGCTTGTGATACAAGTAAGCAGCTATTCGTACGTTACTCCTATCTTGTTTTATGCCGTTGTGGTCTTTCAAAATTTCTTCCCCTATTTTGACTGAAGCTGCACAGAAGGTGGTGAAAATGAATAGAGAAACTAGGGCCTGCTCCATGTTTCAGTTGGTGAATTACAGGATCCTTGGACTACCCTACTGGTTCTCCTTCCCACTGGAGAGGGTATATTCCCTGTAAGTATGGAGACACTGAATGCTCTTATTACACTAGAGCATTTATTTAAATACCATTAATGAAGAAAAAAACTGCTCACTCTTTACCTGCTGACGATGCTTATTTTCTGGCTGATTTGCAGTTCTCCAACTCATGAGTTGTGGACTGATCATCTTCAACACTTCAACCAATTGCCAGGTTTATGTACTTACCATTGATTAATATATATTTCTTTGTTCTGAAATGATATCATACAATATTATCTAATTAAGTGGATGTTGTGCTTGCATGTTTTTTTCTCTGTGTACCAGGCAGGACAGACGTAGATATAAAGGTCGACATTCCAATAGATACTGAACTGGTTGAACCATTGCATGAGGGATGTATCTGGCGTAAGGCAAGAGGAGCTGCTACTGAAGTCTCAGGAACAAACGCTGAACTGAGATCTTCGAAAAAGGTTGATTGTCCTTATCTGTTGTCTTCTTTCCTCATCTCATTCCTTTGGTGTTCCTTTTATACTGGGTCTCTTAGAAGTTCCTGCTTTTATGGTTTGCATACAGGTTGGTGTTGCCCAGAAGTGGTATGATGAACTCGATAATCTGGCATTTTCATCGGCTGCTGAATCAGAGACAATTGTGGAAGATGATGATAGCACAATTGCAGAAACTGAGAATTTTGAGGACGACAAAGTTCGGATTCATTGTGCAGTTAATACGAGCCATGGCTTGAGTGAGGTAACTACCTTATTGTTTCTACATCCAAATACCAACCGAACCCACTTAAAATCCGTCTCAACCAAATGGCAAAATCCTTTAGGTTTATGAGTTTCTACGACACTGTCATTAGTAACTAAATATTCCTTGTCCTACTGTGATATGAACACTACACCAGGATGCCTAACTTGTCTGCCTGAAGCTTAATGGTCACACTTTTGATTTCCAGGTGATCATATATGCACCACTGTATTTGAGACTCAGAAGAGATGCGAATGTAGACGAAGAAGATAATAAGGATAAACATGCAGCGAGGATAGCTGATATCCTAAAATGGGGTAGTCACGGCTTAACCACAAGAGATTCATGCATTAAGCTCTTGTCAAGATTAGGAAAGGATTTGAGAGACCTCGTCTTTGTGAAACCACTGCATGTCAGAATAAGAATAGAATGCCCTAATCACCCTAAGGCACCCGATAACACGAAAGATATCATATTGACCAATTCCACTGTTGATGTCCATGTCTCACTTTGAGCAAGTAAAAGGACCATGAGGGCAATTGATTCATAACTCACTTTTAGTGATGTTGGTATAGTTGAATCTGGATCTCCAGTTCTCTGGATAGCTTATTCAAGGATCCATTGTCTTATTGATTGATCTTTTGAAGCTTCAAAGGAAGCTCTCAGTTTTGGTGATGTTGGTATTGTCAATCAATTACCAGTTCTTCTGAACTAGACTGTTCCAATAAATGTGTAGTGGTTAGGTTAACCGGTTGAACCTTCATCACCAATGCACCTTTTCCAGAGCTTTTTTTTTGTTTTCCCCAAGGTTCAAGGCTCCGCCTTGCGACAAGTTGCAACCTAACCGAGTCCTTCTCTTGAGTACATTACCAGATGGAGGAAAAGGGCATCCCAAATGACAACCAGTATGTCTAGGCGTTGTGTAGGTGTGTCTAAGAGTTAGCGGGTTAATTGCTTCGTATATTTGAAAAATGAAGATTTTCGTATAATTTGCGTTTTGTAAAACTATGGATATATACGGGTTTTGGATCCATTATGGACTTGTAGTTTGGTCTTAAATGATGGCTCAGTTTGACCTTGCTGTAGTTTTTTCAGAAGCAGCTTCTGGCTTGAGCTTTTAGAGAAGTACTTAAAAAAACAGTTGAGTGTTTGGTTGAAAATTTATTAAAAGTGTTTTTTGATATGAGAAGTTGTGTAAAATGACTATAAAGGACTTATAATATAAACTATGAATAATAATTCTAAACAACAAAATAGTCAAAATGAATCTTGTTAGATTTCTTTTATATTAAATAACACGATTTTATACTATATTTTATTTTTTAAAAATATATAAATGAAAGAAAATTATATTTTCTGAAATAAAATTAAAATATGGTAAGGATAATCTTGTATTTTCAAAACAGCTTTTCGCAGAAGCTTCAAATCGCAACTTCTGCTTTTATGTTATATAAAAGCACTTTTCGGCTTTTCAAAAGCCGAACTTTTAAAGGTGTTTGACCCTGCTTCAGCTTTTGAAGCCGAAAAGCACTTCTAAAAGTCGGGCCAAACATAGGCGATGGACTTCAAAGTCCATGATCAATTCCCACCTAAAGTGGTGGAACTTTCAAGTCCGTGGGGTCCACGGATTTGGACCCTTAAAATTCGTGGGACCCACGGATTTTTTGCTCCAAAATACATGAAGCAAACATTGAATTTTGAACAAAGTCCATGATGGATCCAAATCTATTACCAAGTCCATCACCAAATCCATCAAGCAAACAACTCCTAGATGTAAACGTAACATAATATCTCATACTTGTCTAGAATCACAAGTTTATGAACCAAATACTATCGCATCTATCATTCATTTCTAAACTTGCATCAACACTCATGGTAAAATATAAAACATACTGTGGAGAAATGAGTAAGGAAGAAGAAGCTTGAATATAGCAAAACATATTAAGACGAAGAAGCGCAAAAAGAAAGAGGACGCTTCTGTAAATATTGTCGTCTCTAACTATATTCTAGCATATCAAAAGATAGAAAAAAGACATCATGACATCATTTTGAGACACGACTCAAAGCTGGCCAGAGGCCACCAAAGCCACAATGTGATTGTGACGCCTTCTCCTTAGCTTTTTGTCAGGGCGAAGTGTTTTCCTTCCGACTTGTTCCTAGGTGAGCTTAGACGAGTACCTAACCATGCTTTTTAGAACCCTGATTTTTCTGTATTTGCGAAAAAATCTCCTATCGGACATAAATTGATAAGCAAATTAAGCGATAGGAAACGACTGAATCCTAATTAAGCTATAGTTTCAAACTTTCAATACAAACGGTTTTATACTTAAACTTTTCCAATACCCCCTCGGTACAATTTCCCAATCATGTTTTCTATTTCTTTTACCCGGTCTTAAGCTAAGCCAATAAAGGACTAAACTTTAGACACTTTTCTCACTCTCCCGCCACCATAAGCAGAATGATCCTCAGACCTCTCTTCAACCAACACCACCGCCGTGTCTTCTCCTCCCTCCATCGTCTCCTCACCAACGAATCAATAGTCCAACAACACCAACCTCCGCCGCCGTCGCTGCAACCAACGCCAGTTAACTCAGATCACCTAATTCGAGTCTGCACGATCCTCTTTCAACAACAAACCTTTCCAGACTCCAAGCTCCAATCCAAGCTCTCTACCTGCGACTTCCAGCTTACCCACGAGTTCTTCCTCCAAGTGTGCAACAGATTCCCTTTCTCCTGGCGTCCAGTCCACCGCTTCTTTCAGTACATTCAGCAAACACCTTCCCTACATAACAATTTCGCCCACACCTCCGTCTCCTTCAATAAGATGCTCGATGTCTACGGCAAGGCAAGAAACATGGATCTGCTCTGGGAAACGGCTCAGCAGGCAGGCCAATTGGGGTTGGTGAGCGACAGAACATTCGTGATTGTTCTCAGAACTCTGGCCTCCGCGAGGGAGCTGAAGAAGTGCGTGTAGTTTTTCCACCTGATGAATGATTCATGGGTTGAATACAGCTTGCGGAGGTTGAACAAGGTCGTGGAGGCTCTGTGTCGGGATGGGCTCATGGAGGAGGCCAAGTACGTGACTTTGAAGATTAAGGACACCATTCCCCCAGATGGGTTCACTTACGGGTGCCTGATTAAAGGATTCTGCGACATCGGCGACATGATTGAAGCGTCAAAGGTCTGGAATTTAATGGTGGAGGATGGGTTCGATCCGGAGATCCAAGTGTTCGAGAAAATGATCGAGATGTTCTTCAAAAAGAACGAGGACACTGAAGCCGTGAAAGTGTTCCAAACCCTACGAGTTAATAGGATGGAAGAACTAGGACTCTCAACTTACAACCTCGTCATTTCATGGTTCTGCAAGAAGGGCAAGCTCAGCCAAGCACAACAACTGTTCGACGAAATGCGGCAGAGAGGAATTCAACCCGATTGCGCAACATTGGGATCCCTTCTCTTCGGGATGTCATCAAGAGGCCGAGTGAACGAGGCCCAGAGAGTGTTGCAACAGATCGAGAAACCGGACATAGCCATCTACCACGGACTGATCAAAGGGCTGCTGAGCTCGAAAAGACCCAGAGATGCAACAGAAGTCTTCAGGGAGATGATAAACAGAGGCTGCGAGCCCATAATGCATACATATGTGATGCTGCTGTAAGGCCACTTGGGGAAGAGAGGGCGGAAGGGTCCCGACTCCACTGTGAACTTCGACACCATTTTCGTTGGCGGGTTGGTGAAGGCTGGGAAGTCGCTGGAAGCTACCAAGTATGTTGAGAGGATACTGAATGGCGGGATGGAAGTTCCGAGGTTTGATTACAACAAGTTTCTCCACTACTTCTCCAACGAGGAAGGAGTTGTTTTGTTCTTGGAGACGGCGAAGAAGTTGAGGGACGTTGGATTGGTTGATTTGGCTAATGTGCTTGGGAGGTATGGGGAGAAAATGGCCACTAGAGATAGGCGAAGGAACAAAGAGGGTTAACTTGTTCTAAAACAAAGAGTTCACTTTTGTTTAGGTTTTAAAATCGAGGAATTTTGTTGAGAGATCTACCTATTTACCATTTTTCAACGCATTTCTTTAAACAAAGATTTCACTTTTCTATGGTAAACTAGTTTCTTACTCGACCCGTTGACCGGAGAGATTTATTTTATAATTTATATTAATTAACTTATTTATATGATTAAATCATTTTGGATCTTTTAATTATTTTGTGTTCTTATTCATAACAAAGTTTTTAGTATGTTTATATTGAAAATTTCCAATATTTAGAACACTCACTTGTGATACTTTGGTTTTCTAATCATAAATTATGGCGCTGTCACGTCCCATTTAGAATTTATGTAAAAATTTGTCAACCAAAACACTAATATTTGGTATGCGCCAACCCGAACCACACACACACATATATATCTATATTGTTCAAGCTAGCGTGCGGCAGAAGTACACTATACTCTTGCGTTCACACTACCATACGACTGTTGAGATTTTCTATTTACACCCCGAATTAACCGGAGTTTTTTGGGGCATGATATTATACCATAACCTGGTGAACTCCAGTCCATAATTCACTAACCTCTAATTTATGCACATAATTCGTCATACCTATCTTCTGTCGTACCTTAAGTAAAATCAAAAGTATAGTATACTTGATATTATATATATGGGGATTTCTACGGTACCTAGGGCGAAATTCGGGGTACCTCATACCTTGAGTAAGAAAACTCTATTCAGAACTTGAATTGACTGATCTTTCGTACATAATACTATACTCTAACCTAGGGGTGGGCATCGGTTCGGTTTGGTTAAAACCGAACCGAATTTGTGTATACCAGGTCCCTTATATCATCCAAAATCCAAACCGATCCCGAACCGAAATATATTTCGGTTTGGTCAGGTCGAACCGAAATTATGTCGGTTCGGTCCGATTTCTGCCCCAAACCCAAAACCTTTTCCATTCCCCTTAATTATGGATCTGTCAACCCATTTCCCCCTCTCCATCTCTCTCTCTTCCGTTCATTTTCCCCTCTCCGTATCTCTCTCCTTTCTTCCACTTACCCTGAACGATGAAATCAACACTAAAAAAGTAAAAATCAATAGAAGAGCATGCTCAGGGAAGGAAAGGAAGCGGTTGTAGGCATGGCGGCGGGGAAGAATGACGAGTGAAGACGAAGAGAGGGCAGGCCGATAGGGAAAAGCACGCCGCCGTCGGTGCCGCCCTCTATGCTGCAGGATCATCCGCCGTATATACACTTCTTCTCCTTATCCCGTTCTTTCTCCTTCAGAGTTCGGATCTGGAAGAAGTAATGGCGTCCTGCTTCGGATCCTCTTCTCCATCTAGCGGTGACGGCAACAGTGAGAGATGATAAAATGAGACATGATGGCTGGTTGGTAGCATGCATTGCATGCATGTTGTTCTCGGCAGCGAGATTGAATAGGAGGAAAGGTCCCTTTGCCGCCAAGAATCCCTCCCGAGATCTGTGTTCGCCGCCATCGAAGGAGCTCAAGGATCTGTGTTGGTTTGGAAATAAGGAGGAGGTTGAGGGTTGGCGGCTCTGTTAGGGTTATGGGGGAGTAGGCTTGGGCCTTGGGTTTTGAGTATGTGGGGTGGGAGTGGGCTTGAATGCTAGGTTGATCAGTATGTTCGGTTTTTCGGTCGGATAATCGGAATTTCGGGTTCGGTTGAGCTATCTTGGTTTCCGAAATGTAAGAGGTTGCCTTCTGATTTCCAAACCGAATTCATATTATTCGGTTTCGGTCCGGGTTTACCGAACCGGATGCCCACCCCTACTCTAACCCTTAAAGATAAAAATCTAGATCTAAATTCTATCAATCTTATACCCAAAGATCAATTTAATTATAAACAATAATCGATGGTTATGATTCGTCCAAATATAGGCAAAAAAATCAATGCACCATCTTAGGATTTATAGTCTATGATTTAGATAATTAGGACCTAGTGCTCACTCATTAAGGTTTAGGGTATAGTATCATGCTCAAAAATCCTGTTAATTCGAGGTCTAGATAGCGTTTTCATACTCAAGGTATGTTGTACCCCGGATTTCACCCGGGGTACCGTAGAAGGTACCACATATAGTAGACTCAAAATTACCCAGATATTTCGTCATATCTATCTTATCTCGCATAATACTCATATCAAGAGTGCTAATTGCCTATCCCCCAATCTCGTGATAGAGATATCGCCTTTACCCCCATAGCGTCAGACAACCATTGGAGGTTATGTTCTTTTGTGCTATTTTTGGGCTTCTTTTCGTTCTGCTTTGGCACCTATGGTTGTGATCAGAGGTATTTAGCCCCGAAAGGGATTGAGATTTTAGGTCCAATTGACTATCTTACTAAAAATTGCCAGCCTTTATTTGGTAAATGTCTAGGTTAATAGTTGATGAAACGTGATGTTTATCGTAGATTCTCAACAAAGATTTCTCTAACCTTCACCTATGTTATCTTTCAAGGAATCTTGTGTCTCATCCTAGGGTATGAAGTCAAAGTTTGTCAATAATCATACTTAGGTCATTTTGAAAATTTTGATTTATAATCGTCGAAGATAACTCCAATATGAAAGAAATATTTTTAGCATATGGCTTAGGAACTTAATAGAGCTTGTTCAATCAACATGATATAGAGCAAATATTATTAATTTGAACTTAGGACACATTATAAAATTATTGCACATGTGATTCCTCTTCATTTGAGGAGTTTAAGGTGAAACATAATCTGAATGAATAAGTCATTTTTATATAAATAAATGTAACTACTTGATCAAGATTATATTCTGACATTTTTCTAAATAATCCTTGTTTTATTTTCTAGACATATACTTTACGAATAAGAGTTATTTCAATGCAACAAAATATAAAAGTAATATAGTTTATTTTTCAAAGGTAATTGAATGTCAAATGTTTATTTTCTCTTTTTTCATATATATTTTGTTTAATCGATAAAAATATTATTGTTTATGTGTATGTTTGTTTAATTTTTTCATCAAAATGTAAATTATCTTTCAATTTTGAAAATTTACTTCATAAGGTTTAAATGTTTAATCAAACATTTTTATTTAAACAAATGTGATATATGTCACTCTCTATTTTCTTATTTATATTTTTTTTACTTGACAAAAAATTATTATTTATGTGTGTTTTGGTTAAGTTTATCAACATGTAACTTATTATTAAAGAACAAAAAATAAATTGATAAATAAAAAAGAATAATTGGATAAAAGAATTGAAAATATTAAAGAAGAGAGAGGTAGCTCCATAAATACATTAATAACTAATTTTTTTATTTGTAAAAAATTTGTCCTACTTGGCAAATTGCGGATCATCCAAGTGCTTGTGTGGAAAGAGATTGATTTTAAATTGTCATAATATATAGTATAGATAGATAGATAGATAGATATTTTTTTTTTTTGACAATTAGATAGATAGATAGATAGATAGATATAGATATAGATAGATATTTGGGTAATGATTATTTATTAGCCAAAAAAATTTCCGATTCATTTTTATCAGCCAAATCTTTTACTAATGATTAGCCAAATTTGAACTTCGAGTTAGCAATTTTGTTAGTAATATTGACTTGACAACATGATAATGACTTGGAAGATATATAAAGGTTAACGTTCCAAAATTTTAGTATTTTAACTAAGAAAAGAATTACAAAATTATTAACGATAACATAAAAATGACTAATATTTTGATTTATAACAAAATGTTTGACTAATTTTTAGTATTTCGATAGGTTTCATTTTCGAATTGAATTGATATACTAATACAAGTTCTCCCCTTCCGAATATGATAGATTCATAGAATCGACACTTTAGTTTATAAAAAAAATTATAGTATAAACTGAACTTATATTCTTAAATTGTGCTTAAAAACCAAACAAACAAACAAACCATAATACTCGTGTAAGTTCTCCTCTCACATACAGTGACTAACTTTGTACAGCGAGTATAGGTAAGTAGCTAACCACGAATTACTATTCTCATAAGTAAGAATCGAATTCATCCACTTCATAATTAAAGAAAGAAACAATCAATTGCAACACCAGCTAATTAAACAACAAGAAAATCAATTACCATGCGACAAGCTCATGATACTCCATTGATACATTTGAACAAATATTGGGATGGTTTGTGGGGACAAACAAAAGCTCAACTAGTAGCAAGCAAGAAGTCGATTGGGTATAGTTAGCAAAATATTGAATTTTGTGGTTAATGGTTAACCATTATCCGCAGTGATTAATCTACAAAATCAACAATAGCTACACTAATTATATTTATTTATTAATAATACTTTATAACATTATACACTTATTTTATAAAAAAATCAAGTCAATACACAGTGTCCGTGTGAGATACTTTTATTGAATCAGGATTGTCCATGTGGTATATGCTTATTTTTTATAATAAAACATGTCAATAAATGTTATCTATAGTTTATTTAACACTTTATTAACTTTTTTATGTAGGTTTTGTTTTTTTGTGTGAGAAGAAATAAAATATCAATATTTAATTACCATATTATTATATTCAATAATTAAATTTTTGTGGGTATCCACATCCAAATAATATAAACTCACAGTGGGTAACATAACTTATTGTTTGTGGATGTAGTTAAACATAAAATGTGGGGCAGATAACCACACCCACCCCAATTTCTACCCATATTATTGGAACCTACTAAATGTAGTTTAGGCACACTATTAGTCGATGTTAATTAAATTGATTTGGGCCAATTCAAACGAGATTATTGTGATTTTAGGTTTTAAACGATCGCTCTTGACATGCCACATGTTTGAATCATTTAGACTTTTTAGTGAAATTTGGAATGCGGGTACATGCTAAAATAATGAAGCGGCCCCTTTTCTAATTTTAACCTTTGTATCCCATCACATTCATCCTGTCTTATTATTATTATTATTAATCACCTGTACTATTTCATTTAGGACGAAATAGTATAGGAATCAGCTTGAAGCTGTGAGATAAGAAAAAC